AATAAACCTAACGTGATTTTTTGGGTCACTTATCCGTGAAAGCCTTGTCTCAGACCCACCCCTACGACACTATGGACGTCGATCAAGAGCTGCGCCCATCGCTTATCATTACACAGTTGAGTCATTAAATTTTGCCCCTCCCCTAGAAATTTTCTCAGCCTACGGCCCTGAAGCCGTAGAAAACAGCCCTCAGCCACGGAAACAATTCCCCACCGCAGCAAACACGAGCACTGCGTGTACTCTATGCTGCCATTTTTCCAAATCTCGTCACCTCTATTGTGAGGGTACTGCGTCCAAGACCCCTACTCGTGTCCTTGCCCTCGCGCTTGTACACAGCCTCCTCCATCTGTGCACCCTTGTACCACCAGGTGACGTTAGCGGGCGGCTTTCCACCATCGGCTTCGCACGTGAGCGTCAGCAGGTCGAATTCCTTGACGATGCCTTCAACTGCACTTGAGACGATGACGGGGTCATCTGGTGGCACTGCAAGTAAAGCGATTGCGTGCTGCACGGGTGATGTGTGAATCAGTGAAACGATGACCGCATATCAGACTACTTCGCGACAATAAGGTTACATTCAATGGTAAAAAAAATATATACATACGTACGTACATACACACGCACGCACGCACGCACGCACGCACGCACGCACGCACACACACACGCACACACATATATAGTTCCATTAATGAAATTAGTTAGCACGGATGAACATGTCACACGAACTATTCAAGGATGAATAACAATATATAAGCACGGATGAATAAAAAATAGCGATGCGATGGCATTGAATGCGACAAATAGAGCGAGCCACACGCGATCTAGTTTCTCAGCAACTAAGCCAAGTGTAACCCCCCCCACCCCCACCCAAACCGTGTGCCGAACAGCAGTGGCAATGCCTACCTATGACAACCAGTTCTGACGACCCGTATACATCATCACCATATCCCACGATACACTGGTACATGCCAGAGTCACCAGCCTTTGCCTCGAGAATCCTGAGCGAAGATTCTGGCTGATAGTCCAGATCCATGCGTTTCTTGGGGATCGGTGTTCCCCCCAGCACCCGCTTTTGCCCGTTCCTGTGTGAAAAAGCATTACATAATTGGCCTGAATTATTCATACAGCAAGTATACGATTGATTAATCCCCGTTTGGTCTTTCGGCGGATACAGTGAACATAAAAGCTCTTTGAAATGATTAGTTATTTTGATTTCAGTATGAAAGTACTTCCACCACCCGAGGTAATTAATCATTGTAGAGGGGTTCGGATGTAATTTCTCTATCTACCTACTGGGTACTATAATATAATATAATTTACGGGTTGATTGTTTTATTGGAATTAATTGATCCATAATTAAGCCACACTCAGGCATGTGAATCATACTTTAAACATATAATCATCGTGCGGCTTCTAAAGAATCAAATTTATATAGTATAAATTTAGTTATTAATTAATAATTGTTCAAAGATGAATATATAATATAGAACAATTAACAAGATGTCATTAAATTAAGTAATATATTCATTATTAAATCAAATTAGGGACCATTTATTAGCCTTGCAGCGGTTGTTATTGTGTTTACATTTTCGAATCATAAAACCCCATTAAAACATTTGTCTGCCACCGCTCTTGGGTATGATATATACTGACACTTGTGAAGTAGCGCTATTTGCCTTATGCACTATATGTTATACACTATAGACTACATATAATATACATTCTAAAAATACCAGACTTATCTACAAGGCGTTAGTACGGGAAATATGACTAGAATACTACCTGAATAAAAATGTTGGCCAGCCCTCTCTGCTGAGAGAGAGTTAGGACAAGGACCCATACTCCTCTTATATAGATTTATATAATAACATAGTGAAAGATGCCACGACGAAACCACAGCATAGCAGCAGATATTCTCCACTGCCCCAACAAGTCATACAATTTGCAGAACTACACGCCAAAAAAACTTGACTGATAGTTGAATTCTATCTCCTCCTCCTCCTCTCCTCCTCTACCTTATCCGTGTCCAGTATAATGGGGACATAAACAAACCACCATAAGAATGCAAAATACTCAACAAGAACGCCTATTCGTATCAGCAAAGAAACCAGCTTAATCTTCAATAGAGAATGAGACAACAGCTACACAGCATATACACTGCCACTCACACTAACACTTTCTAACTACATGCAGCTAGTTAGTTGATAGAGTGCGACCAAGTGCCAACAAGGATTTGGCCATCCTTCTCCTCCATCGGTTCATCCCCTTCTCCTCATTCAGCTCCTTCTCCTCATCCTCCTGCTGCTGCTGCTTCTTCCCCCTGCTCCTTCGCCCTCCTATTTCACCCCTTCTTCCTTCTCATCTTCCACCTCCCTCTTTCATCTTCTTCCTCCTCCACCTCCTGCTCTTCTACTCACAGCGGAAAGCAGAATGAACTGTCCTTTCACAAATCGCTGTTGAATACAGTAATACCCCCCGTGTTACGACAACCCAGGTTACA